ATTTGTGGTGGGTGGTTTTTGTGGGTGTGGTAGTGTTGGAAGAAATGGTGGATTTTAACAGGCAGCGATGGTGGTTGTGCAGTAGTCGACTGGAGTTACAGGTAGTGGTGGTGGGTGGTTGTTGGAGCAGGCGGTTGTGAGGGTGGCAATGGAGATGTGTGTGGTGGTGTTGCTATTGGCGATGATGGTGAGGTGGTGTTAGTGTTGGTGTGGTGGTTGTGGCCAGAAGAAATGGTGGATTTTAGTAGGCGATGGTTGATTGCAGGTGGAAGTGGTGGATGGTTGTTGGAACAAGTGGTTGTGGGGATGTGAGTGACGATGTGTGCGGTTGTGGTGAGGTGGTGGTGCTGTTGGCACTAATGGTGAATTGGCGGTGGCCAGTTGTGTCATTGGAGATGGTGTGGGACGAAGAGTGTTTGTGATCCATTATTTGGGTTCTGAATAATAAATTGTTTAATTTGTGATCAATAAATAATTTGTGATCCAAAAAAATTGTGATTGTGATTAAATTTGGAATCGTGACCAGAATTTGATAAGTCTTGACTAAATAATTTGATAATTTTTTATTGTGAATTGGGTTCAGACTTATAAAATTTGTGATTTGTGATCGGTAAATAAATTATGACTTCTAAGATTTTTTATTTGTAATCGAAAATAATTTATGATCAATTAATTCGATAATTTATGATCAAATTTTATAGAATTGTGACCTTAATATATTTAACTAATAAACTATATTTCTAATTAATTATGCAATAAATAAAATTTAATTAATATTTGATTTTTGAAATTTTAAACTTTATTTCTTAATTATAAAATAAATCACACTTAATCTTTTAGATATGAATATGTTGCTTATACTAAGCCTACTTGGCCTCAGTCCAAACCATATCATAGTCCATCAAATTATGCCTATGTTTGGGTTAGGTTCCCACTTGGTCAAGAACCTATTTTTTCAAAATTCATTTTGAACTACACATTTTTCAATAAAATAATATTATATGTAAATAGATATTTTTTCCTTTTTTTTAACTACACATTTTTCAAAATATCACTATTTCAAAACTTATTTTCTCCAAAATTTTCATTAAAATGAAATCCAAACGAGGACTATATTGAATGAAGTGAATAGAACTCGTTGAGCCTGGGCCACTTGGCCCAACACTTCTTTTAATGCTACTCCAAAGTAATTTTTCTGCTCGGATGATTTTATTTATTTATTTATTTATATTTCTGCAGTGATATCGGTGAAGATTTTGGATTTGTTAGACAGATGTTTGTTAGGTAAATATTTTGTGGATCGATTAACATAATATTTTAATTGATAATTTTCTTTCAATATTAACTGAACGCTTCTCGTGTGTTTATCGTAAAAAATAAAATAAAAATTGTAAACATAATTGGCAAATCCGTAATTTTTATGATTCTAACACTTTTATCCATTCAAGACCCAAAATTGGCCTTCTTGTGTACCATTTTAATAATACTAAAAATAAATAAACCTTCTACTTGTGACATGCACAAAGGTCAAACGGCTCTCCTTCTCAGGACATAGAACCCTAAAGGTTTTTCTAAAAAGCTCGTGCAGGTTAGGCTAACCCATACCATGACCAGATCAAGGCTTCTTTAGCTATGGGTCAATCTGTCTTTACACTTCTACATGCAGTCACTGACGAACCCACATGGGGTCAGTTGACACCACAAAAATTTCTGTTTTTCTTTTTCTTTTTTTATTTTAACACTAAAGATTAAATATAACCTTGTCGAATTGCTTATTGTCAAGCCCATTAATTGGTATTTCACATATCCAACTCCATCTTCAAATCCATTCTCTCCACTCCTTCACATTTTAGGATTTCTTTCTTGTGCTAACTTTGTGATATTTCTTCCGTTTAAGTAACAAATCAACATCCTACTTATTTGATTTTACATATTTTTATTCTAAAATTCATTTGAATAATTGAATTTGAGATTTGAGAAATATTTTCAACTACAATTCCCGATTTCTCATCGCTTAATAGTTATTATCTAGTCTACAGAAAAAACATAAACATCTAAACAAGTCGGTACTGCCATATTATGGAAATTATCAATATAGTATTTGGATAAATTTTTTTGTGATTATTTGATGTCTTTTGGAGAATCATGCATTTATCCTTATCCGGTTAAATTATGGGGTTTGGATCTAATTGTTGCAACTATAAATAAGAAATTAAGAAGACAACTATAAAATTTCGTGTGAATCTGGAATGTATGATTTTGGTCTCTGCTAGTATTAAAAAAAAATAGTTGATGTCATCTTGTTTCTTCTTACTATTTATTCAACTGAAATAGCAAATTCTCTCATCTAGATGCTGTGCTCATATTTTGTTAATATTGAATTTGATTTTGTAACATTCATGGAGAAATATTTTAAATAAAAACCCTTATTTTCGAGTGCAGAGCAAAATGTAGTTAAAGCGAGCGTTCAAAATAACATATTATGATATGATGTTCTAAATGAAATTGTATTTTAAATTTGACCCCACAATGCCAAATGTCTGGTTTCATCCCTGCATACGATACATTATAATCAATGAATTAATTAATCGTAAATTATGAGATTTTACTATCTTTCTTTTCTCCTTTTAGAGAAAATATTAATCATAGAGAAAAATGAAATTTCCACAATAAATGCAAGCCCTTCTGATATGATTTTGGATAAAAATTCTTCTTACCCCTGCGCCCCACCACCCAAAAATAAAAAATTAAAAAAAAATTGATTTTAGTTAGCAGAAATAATTAAATGACTTTCTGGATGGAAAGTGACAAACTTAATGAATCGATTATGAAGGGGTCCATTAGCTACATCTACACTCACATTCATGATGGGAAATGAGAAAAGGGTTTACACCATGAATATAGTTGAGCCCGTCCACATGAAGCTACTAGCGCAGAAGGAACGAGAACTATTGGACCACCAATTGGTAATTCATGCATACAACCCCATATTTCATATATGCACATGCTAAAAAACATGAATTTATCAAGAAAAATGATTCATACATATGTAAATATTCATCAGGAAGCGTTCCTCCTATATATGGATTTGATAAGTATTTTTTATAAATAATCGTGACATTTAATTTAAGCAAATCCAACAGTTAATATCTCATAAATCTCAAGTAGTTATAACTAACTCTTCCTTAATCCTAGTGAAATACACACTAATCGTTAGATTTGCTTAAATTAAAAGTCACAATTATTTGTCAAAAATACTTTTCAAATCTATGTGTAGGAAGAACGCTCCCCATATTCATCATGTGTTTGGCACGTTAAATCAAATAATACTAAAGCAAATTGTATGACATGACTATTATTTCATTAATCCTACTCGATTGTGCCACGAATATTGCCAGATCATCACGAGATGTAATAATAACCTAGAAATTTTTCAAAAATTGAGGCCTTGAACCGATATGATATGTCGTAGAACTTGAAAATACACGAGTGGCAACAAAGGCATAACTTGTGCCATAATTTATGTATGGACTAAGTTTTTGTCGAATACTGAACTAATTGTGGCACATGACCCACAACATTCTTCCTATGAAGACCCAAGTGCAACGTTATATATATATACACACACACCTTCAAATTGACTTCTTCTTCCTCTATTATTATTATTTTATTTTTTTTTGTAATTTAACGTGAGTATCTTTTTAAGTTTGAGAAATAAGTTGGTACCGATCAATGTTTATTCATTATTTCTAAAAGTTAAATTATTAGAGAAGAATCAATCTTGTCTTTGACATGCTTTCTTATATGTATACAGAATATAGTTTTCAATCAATCGTTCAGAATTTGCATAATTTCTCATAAATGGATGGTAACGAAATTTGAACCTCGATTTTTTGCATTACTTTAGTATGTGTTAACTATCTTATCCAAAAGTTCAAACTTTTAGGGTAACAAATATAAGTTTAAATTTGTCTTAGATTACTTAACTCATGTTTGGTTTAATTTAAAATTAATTTTTTAGTAAATTTTGATGAAAATTGATAAAATGTTGATTAAAAAATTGATAAAAATAGTGAGTCCCAATAAATATGATTGAAAAAGAATTTAAAGAAAAATGAGTTGTAAAAATGGGGACAAAGAGAGGGCTCATAGAGGTTTACACTGGGTTATAATTGATATGCTTACATTTTCAAATTTATTTAAGTCGTGATCACCTTTTTAGTAGTATCACCTTTTTAGTAGTCAAGATATGATAATTGTACCTATTTCTGAATAATGCTACTCGTACATATGAAGTTACATAATGATTTACGCATAAATGAGGTATCAAAAAGATAGTAAGAATTTCTATTTATTTATTTATTTTTAATTTGGTTGAAGAAATATTGACACAATCATATCTTACCACATCATGTCCATATTTGATGGTCATTATTTGACAAAAATATAATTTTGAATAATGAATTTTTGAAGAATGGGTATTTTAAATAGAATTTTTTTTTTTTTGAGTTTACGTGTAGGCGGTGTATAATATTTTATTATATGAATGTGTGATTAAAAATCGATATATAGAATAAAGAGCTTTAAAATAATAGTTATCAAACAAGTGCCATATGTACGTAAACCATTATGTATATACAGTACAACTATATCAGAAATGATATCAGGGTTTCTTAGACTAATGCTTAATTGTTTAATTGATTGATTGTAGGTTGGTGTTTGGAATAGATAGAAAAAAAGGAGAGAACTCTCATGGTAAATAAAAATTTTCAATTTTCAATTCAAGACTTCCGACTAATAAAATAAAACCTTACCAATTTAAAGGAAAATAAGAAAAACACAATTTTGTTGCATGAACTTTATGTAAACAGAACAATTAACAGCATAACTTAATATAAAAGAAAAAAAATATATTTTTCCTACTAAAGTTTAAAGACAATGAATAGTATAGTACTACACTCAGAGATATAAAACATAAGTAAAAGAAGATCAAGATTCACTTGGGAGAAGCTTAGAAAATTAATATGTTTCTCTCTTGTGAATTATTGTTTCCTAAAACATTCAATTGCAATAAAATATTAATTTTGGTTCACTGTCAGTGATGTCTTCAAGAAATAACTGAAGATCATTCAACGAATAAAATTATAAAAAATAGTGAATCAGTTGACTGCTACTCGATCATCCCAACCAACGTGCCATGCGTCTTCATCAGCAGAAGCTCCATAAGGGGATATCAATGTCTTCATAAGAATCTTCCATGATTAATGGATCAAAGAATGCTCCATTGAGGATATCTGTGTACTTGGGGGAATCAAAGTTGTACCATGAGGTCATTATAGGTTCATCTGCAACATAGGGTACTGTGTAATCATTGATCAATGGTGGTGCCAGTGAGACATCATCATCTTCAATGAGGCTGCAGACAGGCGATGAAGAAGATAAATTTGGAGATGGGGTGGCAGGTGGTGGCGCTGAGGCTGATGATGTGGAAGAGACGGGCGGTCCGGGCAGAGGAAAACCACCATTAGCGGCTGAGGCTGCCACCCTTTGGATGGACTTAGGGGACATGATGGTATCAGGGTTGAAGTTTTGTGATTTGGATATTGGGAAGTTAAAATTGGCTGAAGTTCCCTTAAGGCATAAAAGTGCAGCATCATATGCCCTAGCAGCTGCCTCTGGTGTTGAATATGAACCCAACCATATTCTTGTCTTTTGGTTTGGTGCCCTTATTTCAGACACCCAAGATCCCCAGCTTCTCATTCTAACTCCCTTGTACTTCTTTTTGCATAACGAAGACGAGGGCGAGGGCGACGGCGATGGCGACAAAACTTCTTTGGCCGCCCCTGATTGGATATTTTGGTCTTTCTTCACCATTCTTGGATACCTAGAAGAATCAATATTTGTGTCGTCTCACAATGTCCTAGACTCAACTCTTGTGTTACTTGAATTGCAATTGGACTCCAAATCTTGAATCCGAGGGACCTTTTCAAGTGAAAATGGGATGACTTAAAATGGGTGAAAAATCAATGAAGGGTTTCTCTTTTTTCGTATATCTAATAAGGATAATGCAATTGGGAAGTGATTGTGTAGGAGAAAAGATTGATATTTATAGATCCCCTTTTGGGGTTTGATGTGAAGAACATAACTATTTGGTCAAGGATAGTAAAGTCTTCATGTAACATCAAATGGGTGACATATATTTTAAATTTTTTAATTAAATAAAGTATACCAATGACTTTTCTGGCCCATGGTAAAAATACTCCATTGCAACTAGCTATTGTAACTTCTAATGCTTTTTCATAGATTTAGCCCCCATTTGAGACTTATTTTCGGGCGAAGTGTGTTTTAAAATAGTGATTTTTTTAAGAATGCATGGTTAGAAAACAAAGAAATTTTTTGGGTTTATGCGTACAATTATTTATGGAAGAATCTATAATTAAAAATGAGTTTTAAAAAAAAATGAGCTCAAACAAGAGCTTAAAATATGAACTTTGGATCATTTTTCGACGCTCAATTTCTTTTTTTTTTTTTGTTACATTTACTTCAAGATATCATGAGTTGATACATATTTTCATTTTAACATTTTAATGTCTCAAACTCGAGGACAAAGCATAGTTAATTTGACCTAGAGAATAAAATCTTTATGACTGAGTTGAAGAGAAATATGAAGGTTCTCCTTCGTTTCCTCACCAATTATGCTTGAGTACAGCTGAGAAGTGTCAAGTTTTTCAAAAGCTACCCCATCGCACATGTGCTAACAATAGATACATTTAGCAGTCCGTATTGCATAAATCAGCAATGAAACTTTAATTAATATATTTTCTCAATATTCATTCTTGACTAACTCCACAAGTCACTTCCATTGACACACAGAAAATGTAATTTAGAGTAAAATTTGAATTCTTGACCTTAGGCTTAGGGCCACTGATCAGTCTTTTGACCACATGGGTTTTTAATTTAGCTATTCATAAATAAAATATGAACGATTGGAAATTCAAGACGTTCAAAGGAGCATCCCATTTTGCGTAAAGCTTAAATGGGTAATTAGATTTCAAGATTAATATTCTTTAAAGCTCAAAAATCAGTTTCGCTTTAGAGCACAATAAACTAAAACTACTAGTTTGATGGGTCTAATTAAGTCTCGATTAAAAATAAAGTCAAAATCAATATTTAATTTTAATCACATATTTCATAAAATCGCCAACTTTTAAATCTTATGTTTCATCAATTTTTGTCAAAATTTACTAAAATTTTTATTTTTAATCTCCACCGAGCAAGGGCTGAAGCTCAAAATATAGTCAAATTTTAAGGTCATGTTCTCGGAGGTTAGGTTATGTACTTTTGTTATAGGTGCATATCCATGTCACTTAAGATGGAATATATGAAAATAATTTTACACGGAAAATTCAAAATTTTTTCGTACTTTTTAATCGATTGTTCACTAAAAAATTATTATTTTAAATTTTTTTTTTTTTCGAAAAAATGGAGCTCAGACATAGTGATAGTAATCTCTCTCTACACTTATGTGTGTGTATAATATATGGGAATATAATAATGCATGCTAGAAAGTGAAAAATAAGGATTCTATGAAAAGCAGCTTCCAGGATTCTGCTGGATGCTTATGGGAGTGTGCTTCTCTCAGAATAATCCATACCAAAAATAATCAAGAAAACAAAAATAAGTACGCGCTTAGTATTAATTATAAGCAGAAAAAGGAAAAGAAAAACAGCTGGTGCTTCTCTGTCTTGCATGTATCTCTCAAAACGCGTTATATATATGTGCATCTGATGGAATTGAATAAAGAATGTGCAGAAATGCAACCGCTTGATGGACTAAAAGCTGACGCCTACACGATTTGACTTTTGCCCTCCAAATTTTCTTCGTATTGAGATGAATTCACTTGGTTAATTGGCAAAAAAGATCCTTACCTTTTAAAGTAATTGTGCAAAACGTTCCTACATTTTATTTTTTGACATTTTTGCCTCTATTTCCACCTTTTATTACACAAAAGGTCATTTTCATCCATTTTTCCAATAAAATGACGATTTTACCCCGATTCAAATAAAACAAAACAAAAAATAAATGACTAATTGCAATCATAATCCTAAATTTTTCAAAATATTATAGTTTAGTCCTAAATTATCCTCCACCACCACTTTCACAACTCTATCAAGCTTCCGCCACAATGCTATTATTTCGACAAACAAGTATTGTAATTTCTGCAATTGAGTGATTACCCAATGCTTTTTTACCTTGAATTTCATTTCCCCCCATGTTGATTTGTGTATTGAATCACATTTGCGCCATGAATTGATGGAGGAAAACCTCCTCCATGTGGGCAAGTTGTTCTTGAGGCCAAATAAAAAATTGTTTCGTCTGATTCGTAAATTGCAACAATTGATTCAGTAACCATAGCCGTTTCACCTTGATTTGTGTGCTGGTTGGAGCAATTGATTAATTGTAGATGTGAAAGAACATCAATCAAAAGGGAATCGGGCTAGTTGAAGCGCGAGTTCTTTTCCCCTAAGTAAACTGTCATTTCTAGGCCAAATTGGGGACGACCCATATGTTCATTGGATGAGCCATGAAGAGTACGTGCTTGTATTGGTGGTCCGCAATCATGGGTCCCACCACCGTCGTCGAAAAATTCGTTTAAAAATTGCACAGTCGCTGTGTTTGAAGATGAGCCTGCTGGTTTTGATTCTATGTGTTTATGGATGATTGGTGACCATAGAAAGGGACGTTTTAATGTGTATAATTCACTGGAATGTTGGGCATGACATGGGTGTTGTCGAAATTGGAGATTTTGGCTTGATTTTGTTAGAATTGAAGTTGTATAGTCACTGTGTTTTGGCTTGATTTTGTTAGAATTGAAGTTGTATAGTCACTGTGTTTTGGCTTGATTCGTCGGCGAATTCAAATGGGTTCGAGGTAGGGGAGAGTGAGGTGAGGCTGGTGGTGGTGGAGTCCAATGGGAGTGGTGGCCGGAAGGTGGCAGGGTTATGAAAGTGGTGGTGGAGGAGAATTGAAAATTAAGTTGTGATGTTTTGAAAAATTTAGTACTGTGATTGTAATTAGTTATTTACTTTTTGTTTTATTTGAATCGGGAGTAAAATCGTCATTTATTGGAAAAATTGGTGAAAATGACAATTTGCGTAATGAAAGGTGGAAATAGGGGCAAAAATGTCAAAAAATGAAAGGTATGGACATTTTGCACAATTATCTTGAAAGGTAAAAACATTTTGTGTCAATTACCCAATTCACTTATGGTAAGGTCCAACTAAAAGATAATCACTTTTTGCTTTGGGAAAAGCTATTATACACACAAATGAACATGTTGACTAACATGCATCTTTTGGAACAAAATTCCTTGAGTGATCCTCTACGTACCGACAACATTTTTACGGAATGGCCACAAAATACTCACAAGGGGGTGGTTGGGTGATTTTTATTTTTTATTTTTTGCATTTTTTTATTACACCATGGGATCCATCCATATGAGTGTCTAGAGAAATTTTGTGAGGAAAATTTCTGTACAAACAGTATTTTTGAAATTCCTTTCCCACGTGGGGCAATGAGTTCACATATGGAGTAAGGTATTTACTGGCTTGAGATGCCCACCGTAGCGCTATTCAGACTCGAACCGACACATATATACAACCTTACATGAAAAGATCGTGGGAACGATCAAATTAGAGTTGTTCATAGATTCTGCAACTGCCTATTTTATGATCTGAACAAATTATATAAATTTAATGTAGCATAGGACTACTCGATCTGGAGCCGATTCACTTTTACACCTTTATATGAAAAGATCGTGCAACAATCAAATTGAGGTGTGCATCTTTCACTTTTGACTAGATGTTGATCATTGTTGCAAGGGCATTCCTATTAGAGCCTATATTGACCAAATGAAGCAAGGTGATATTAGTCTTAAAAAGGTCTATCGATAGTGTGTAAGTTTAATCAAATGCCTAACACATGAAATTTTTAAATTAGGTATCTTGAAACTTAAATTTGAAAATTTTATTTGATCTTTGAACTAATTTACCTAGAAAATTAGATTACTAAAGACGGAGCTCATGTTTTCTGTAAATTCAAAGTTGAAAAAAAAAATTAAATTAAAATCAATAATTAATTTTAACCACACATTTCATGGTATTCATGTTTTTCAATTATAGATTTCATTAACTTTTATCAAAACTCTAAAAATTTGATTTTAATCTACACCAAACAGGGATATAATAAATAAAGTTTAATTTCAACAACTTCTGATTCAATGAGACTTAGACCCTGTTTGTTTTATATAGAAATAAGCTATCTATTAGAGTTCGATAAAAGTTGATGAATGACGTGATTAAAAAATTATGAATTTCATAAATTGTGTAGTAAAAATTAATTATTGGTTTCCATTTAAATTTCAAACTAATATTTTAGTTCAACCGCCCGCTGAATTAAACTTTTTCAAACAAGTTGTCTGAAGTGCCGCCACCTTCGACCTCAATCCTAGTAGATTGGATTGAAGTTGACGGGTCCGGTGGAGTGTCACTCACACTGAAACTTCCTCCAATGTAAATTTGTAATCCAGCTCATGCATGGACATTTAAGGAATTAAATAATTATATTTAAAAACTTAGGGCATCCAACGACATCTCCAACTCCATCCCATTACACTGTAATTCACCAAATTGTACCAATTTTTTGGTGCAAATCATCTTCAACGCATTGTACCATTTTGCACCAAATTGGTTAAATACTTTTTTACGATTCTCTTTCACTTTATACCAATTTTTTAAAGGGTATATTTGTCCATTTGTTATACAATGAATTTTAATTCTAAATTTATTATTATTATTATTATTATTATTATTATTATTATTATTATTATTATACGCATTTGCAATAAATTTTAATCATTTAATCAATAATAATTAGTTGTGAATACTATTTCGACTTTGTAATATCATGATAATGTGATCCGAAATGCATTACCCTCTTTTTTAGTATTATGACTTAGCCCTTATTTGAATCTCATCACTTCTTTTAATGAGCTTTCTCATTTT